CCTCTCAAAATTTTCCTGGCTTTCTAACTATGCAACAAGAGCCGTTACAAATTCATCCAAGCTAGCTGTTAACTTCCCACGGGAACGAATCTTGTACTGTGAGTGACATTGACGATATTCTGTTCAGAATACAACCTTATACAATATGTTATTTAATGAATGAAAACCTTGACTTTCTGTTGGTTATAAGTAATATATAATAAAACGTAAGAGAGAACTATCAACAAATTGTGAAAGAGAGGATGTGACCGGTGGGTGTGGCAGGAGGGGTCTGATTTTCTATTCGATAGCTCTGTAACAAAACATAATTGAAGGCTATAAAAATTATAGTTTGTTTGAGCAATAACGATTTTATAGAGAGTATTTTACATTTAATTTTGTACTTTTGCAGGAGGTGGTGGATAAAATGGAGATGATGACATGCTAAGACAAAATGTGTTACGTGGGTCACATTAGTGGAAATTCAAGATTTTTTTTAACACTGCCTTGTAGAATTAAGAACTTAAAACTTGTATACCCTTAAAATATGAGTTATTAGCTAAGATTTTATTCTATTCTAATTGGTATAACATGAACAAAAAATAGTATAATAAAATTTTGATTGTAAGACACTAAAGCCTTGTGTCATGCACAGTGAAGGATACCCGGAGTGACACAGTTTACTCTCTCAACACTGGCTTGGTCAATTTGACCAACCACGTAACCTCTTTGTACTTGATTAGTCTTTATAGATTTAATACTTCTAACTTTCAATATAGTGTGTATATCTTCACAAAATTTGGCAGTCTTTTAGTTCATATTATAAGTCTTTCACATACAAAAAATAATTTTTGTTAATTATTTTTAATAAAATAAAATTAAGATTTGTCCATGAATATATTGAGTGTTTGTTTTGAAGAGTCCGTGTGCAAAGTAATTTTCATGTTAGAATTAAAAATACTTTTCCTCATCTCAAAAATCTCAAATTTCATCTCCAAACCCCCTATATGCATTTCAAAGTTTTTCCAATAAAACTTTATAATTTATCTATTATTTTCTCTACCCTATCTCAAAACGGGATTGTTCAATTTAACTGACCTCATAACCACCCAAAAAAAATTCTAACCAATCTACAGTCTAATTAAATAGCCCTTTCCCAACACCTACTAATGTGATTTTCTTTGCTAATTTTGTGTTGGCACCATATGAAAAGTTTTTTGAAAATTTAAGTACAACAAATCCACTCCTTTTCAGTCATCCAGATAATGGGTAACATCCTCAAAAAAAAGTAAACAGATTAGAAAGACAATATTTCCCTTTAAAATAGTTCACAAGACACGCACCACGGGAGCAGCTTGTGGGTAATGTAATTCAATAGCATAATGTGAGCTGCATGTTCCCTGAGTGATTTACAAAACAAAATGTAATTATAAATAGGTGTATACTGTTATGAACTTAGAGCTACTTAGGATAAATGAATGTAGTTTCATGTTACAATTTGAAGTCATTCTAGAAAGAAAAAAAGGGTAATTTAGGTTTATTTCAAGAGAAAAAACAAAAATTTCATTAACGGAGTCGAGTCAACTGACCTTCGTTACAAGCTGTTACATCTCAAGGGTCAGTGTTTGGACTTCTGCTTTTCCTTCATTTACATTAACTATATTGTAAGGGTTATAATTAGTAAGTATAATGGTATTAAAATGCTGAGGTACTACAGAATGACTTAGATCAATTGGTAAGTTTGAAAAATTGTTGGCAAATGGCTTTTAACCAATGTAAATGCAAGGTAATGCATCTAAGTTCTCATAACTTAGGTCACATTTAATTTACATGGAGCCCACTCAAAAGCATGAATGAATATACGGATAGTGACATAGTAGTATATAACTCAATCAAACTGTTGAGACAGTGCTCTGTTGGTAGTTGAAAAGCTGTTAGAATTTTAGGATTATTTATAAACTACTGAATACATGAAAAAAAGCAATTATCGCTAGTTATGTCTCACTTAAAATACTATATGGTTTTGGTCTACTTACCTGTGAAAAGATATCAACTTATTGGAGAGGCTTGAAAGGAGGGCTATCAAAATGATTTTAAAGAAGAAAGGTTATTTTATGGGTTAAAATATTTTCTTTTTAGGTGACAGATGACCTTCTTGACATTTACAAGTCTATCTAGATTATCTGAAAACAACAAGATGAGAGGACACACATTTAAGGTTTGGAGGAAGGACAAATGCTAGTTTAAAGTTTCATTTTTTCGAAAGAGTGATTAGCTACTGGACAGAATTGCTATCATCAGTGGATGCGAGCCAGTGCTTTACAGGTGTTTAAGAAAGGAATCAATAAATTCCTTAAAGATAAAAGATGATTTAGTTTTTATTTCTACATTTCTTTTCCTCAGGGGTGAATGTGCAAGGACAGCACTCATGGGATAAATGGTCCTTTGTTGTCCATATATTATCAAAGACAGCTGTTCAGAGATTTGCAATTAAGATATTAGAAACATTGATCTTAACAAACAAAACATATTACAATCACTAGCTCTCACATATTTCTCCACCTCAACCTTCTGACTGACATTCTCATCAGTGGTTAATATGAAGTTCAAAATAACATTATTTCTCATTGGTTCCCTAATTCATTGAAGAAGAAAACTAACTTTTAGTAACTATCACCTTCACTATGTTACTCCATGCAGTTAACATTTGTATGATAGAACTTTCTTACTGGAAACATTTCATTAACTTCCTAATTAAATTGCCTATGTAAATTTTTTAACATTAACCTCCTATCATTGTAATTACAGATAACACCCATACTGATTCTATAATCATTCTACCCTCTTTAATATACTCCAGATTGATTAAATCAGTGATAAAGATAGTTTTCAATCATGTGACACAGATTTCTCACTGTACTATTATAAACAAAAGGAAAACACTGAAGGTAAATAAAATATTTCTCAAGACTTTCACGAGCTAATAAACAATTCTCTCTGTGCTTTAATTATTAGAGAATTTTACAACTGACAGAAGTTATAGTACAATGTTAAATAAAATAGTACAACTAATTACCATTAGGATTTACTTCTGTTGGGTCGTTAGCATTATTAAAGAGCTCTAATGGACCATCATTTGATATCCCATGTGTACCAGAAGCTAGCAGCATAGTAGAAATACCATTCGGAATTAATGTGCTTGATTGTATTGAGTCATTCACAGCCAACTTTGAAGATTCAACAGAGTCCGAATATGGCAACACAAGGGGGTATGTAGAATGAGTAGATTCAAAGGTGAAAGAAGAATCCTGTGGGTTTCCACCAGACAAAAATACTGAAGATACTGATGAATCTGAAGAAAATTGTTTTAAAGATCCCACTTCTGAATAAACCAAATTAGGTAATACACCAGATCTGGACACACCTTCTGATGAATTTGAGATGTTATGACCTTCCAAAGAGGTTAAAGCTGAGGATGTCATGCTAGATGAATATTTTGGAACTATATTCTCTGTTTCAATCTTCTGACTAGCTTTTTTAATTCTATGCGATTTTCTCAACTTCATTACTGTCCTTTTGTTGAACTGTAAACGTGCTTTTTGCAATATCCCTTTTGTCACCTTACATGGAGCTTTTATCCCCTGCCCAGAAGAAGTCAAATTAATCAAACCTGTTGATGTCTCCTTAAATGACTGCACAGAGGAAATAAGATAAGGCTCATCAGAAATTCTATCACTGGATGATTTCAAAATCTTCTCAATTTTTTCTGTAGCCTTATCTTCCAGTTTATTTTCTTGACTCTCCATTACGTTGTTGATATTGCTATCTTCATTCACTGGTAAAACAAATGAAGGTCTGACTTGTTTTTCAGATTTTTCTTTAAAGGGTTTTTGATTTTCAGTCTGATGAACAAACAACTTAGCCTCTTCTCTCCTCTTCTTTGCCATAATATCTGTACACTTACTGACCATTTCTCGTTTTATATGCATGAATGAACCTGCATAATTTTCCAAATTATCATCCTCAGACTTCTTTAATGTAAAAGAAGAATTACAGTTCATTTCAGATAGTTTCATTTGAATCTTTAGACTTGGTTTCCATGGTCTTTTCCCCTCAAGCACCAATGGTTGGTCAAGCAACCCAATCTTCTTAGAACTATCAACCTCTTCAGTTATTTTAGCACCTGATATAAATGTTTTAGAGTTACATTTCTTTGACAGTTCCTTATTCCTATTTTTTTCTATTTTGCTTTCTGTATACTGAAACGGTGAATCATAATCATCCAAAAAACTTTTTCTTGGAAATATTTTTCTTGAAGAGTTGCAGCTAACTGATGGAATTGTAAACTGTTTTCTAAAGCAGGCAGAATGGTCTTCTAAAACATGAGAAACTGATAAGTTGTTCTTTTTATGAACATTTTCCAATGATTTTTTATCACCAAATTTCTTTTCATTAGAAAATAAAACAGAATTATGGTTGTCTTTTTGTACTTTTACGTCATGGTTTTGTTTAAGTTTTTCTTTATGACTTAACATTCTAGATGCAGTTTTATCTTTTTCCCTTTTCAAACTACTAGACTGCATTATTGTCTTGTAGGATTGTAATAAATCACGTTTTTTGCTTGAGCTGGGCACTGGTAGCTGACTCTTTTTTGTTCTATTTAATAGTCTCTTTGCAAATATGTTTCCAGAATATTTTTTCTGAGATTTTTTTTTAGGAAGTGTTTTACATATTGATAATTTTTCACCTCCTTCATTAGATAAAGCAGTAAGTTTAACACTCCTGCTGTCGCTCTCTGAACAAATCTGGTTACTACTAACCACAAACTGATATTGAGTCCTGCTTTTAAATCCTATGTTTGCTTCTAGCACATTATATGATTTGCAAAACCCTTCTTTTAACATTTTGTCGTATGATTTTCTTACTAAATGCCTCATACCCAAACGTCCCCTTGATAAATGTGAGGTTTCTGACAATGAACATGATGACCCACATGTTTTCTGTAGTTGACACAGGTGACGATGTTGATCAATGATACTACCTGTACCATGTGGATCAATGCTGAGTAATGTTACCTTTTTTCTCTTATTCTGAACTTCAGTTCTTTGCTGTTCCTCAATACTGAATCCATCAAATTCTCCTTCCTGTAACAACAACAATAAAATATTATATATAGATATACAATCCAATAAAGAAATTCACAGCACACAAAATGCTCTACATAAACTTCTAAAATAATCTCGAGATAAAGCACTTTTTGTTTGCAACTTCTTCCTTCTTTTTCTGATTCACTGAATAAATCCATACAAGGATGAACATTATTTTTTCAAATAGATTTTTTTTTTCATACAAATAATTTGGGCTACGAAAAGAGCATTAATTACCAAATTTCAACACACACACACATATGTTTCAAAATTTGAAAAGTAATTATTAAACATACTGGTGATAAAAAGCTGTTAAAAATATCAATTACGTTATGCACAAAAATGAAGACCTAAATTCACACTATAAGGAAAAATATGCATCATTAATATTGATAACATACAGACAACAATAATTTGGGCTTTCAAGGCTGTCCTTACACACCATTCCTTAAGAAAAGTAAAAATTTAAATCCATACATTATTATCCACAAAATATCAAGTTCCTTCTCAAACTCTTGTAAAGTGCTAGTTTCAAATGACACTAATAGCAACTTATTCCATAAATCAATCATACTGTTAGAAAAACAACAGTCTAAACTCAACCCTAGCTTGTCCTTTCTAAATCTTAAACTTGTGTCTTCTCATCCATGTCAAATGTTTTAGTGGAATCCAATATAAAACTTGAATGACCAGTAGTGTGGCATTTGTTTCAAAAACTAATAAAATCAACTAGCTTCCTCCCCATCTCACACAAAAAGTAGAATATAACTTTTAGTGTTCTGCTTTTATTCAACCAGTGAACTCAACCAATACAATGCCAATGACAACTCAATTTTGTCAGGAATGACACAACATGCATTTTACATTTAAGTTATTCATATATATATATTTTTAAATGTAATAGTTTTGAACATTTATTCATCACAGTTTTACAGTTCATCAATACAACATTAGCTGATAATGAAATTCATGGTTTGCATTAATGCTACAACAAATTAAAATGGGTTCTCATTAAGAGCCAGTGGTCTGTGAAGTTCCTTAGTTACTCTTCAAACTATCAGTCAAATAGTCAATTATTCAGTAAGCTTTTCTTTGAAAATAAATACTTTAGACAGAGTTTGCAGAGGTCATGAAATCCTGGAGTCATGGAATTTCATAAATAAGTTTTACAGTACTGGAAAATAATGGTTTTTATCATGAGTTCTGGAAATGTACTTGAAACTCTAACTCCATCACTCCAAGATCCTGTTTATATTTACAACAAATCATACAACTGTTTATCTCAGTTTTGTGGAAAAAAAATAAAGAGCTCTAGAAAATTTGATTCGTAAAATTGGAAACATGTTGACTTGGCCAAACTGTTCAGTAACAAGCTTTTACCTATGTAACTCCACTAAATGTCATGTGACTATGTTGTAATAATACTGTTTGTGCAAAATAAGCTCAAGCCTCATTTAGAGGAAATCTAAAATCATAAAAATGTTGACTGGATAAAGAACATGGTTTTTTCAGAAACACTTCAGTAATAATTAATGACATTTCTAGCCTAATTTTTTCATCAGTTCTTGCCTAAATGTTGTTGTTAATAAAAGAAAGAGATCCAAATCCAGGTGGGAACATTATAATGTGTCATGAAACAAATACTTGCCATTACAGACAGCCTGTTAGCTTATTCCTGATTAGGTTACTTATTTAAACAATGATCAATCAAGGCCAGGATATTTTGGACCCTATTACTAAATATCTTGGGGACAATCTTCTGCTTTGGCAGGATAAGCAGGACTGAGAATATAGGAATGCAGTGTACGTTATTAATATTATTTGTCTCTTTGTGTTTTTATTATTTTCTTTTTCTTTCAAATCTAAAAGGAATAAAATTCTTTAAAACTATGATATTGACACACAAGATTTCCATTTTTTAAAAGTCTATGTTAGATGGAATTGCAGCAGTAATCTCACAAAATGTTTAAAAATAGTGGGAATACAAGAAGTAATTTTTTGCAACAATATGAGTGTGAAACGTTGCTTTGTTAGCATGTTGAGATGATGTATATCCAGCAGCCAATGAAATAGAAGTTTACTTCTTGTCCTGTTGGAAAGTTTAAATAATTATATTTAAGATAAATATTATTTTGTTTTGGTTAGAAACTAGAGGACATTTTAGTCTAGCCCAAAGCATAGCAATTCAAAGATATATGCAAGTCTATCACTGTTTATTAAACAGAGAAGATCATAACACAGTTTTTAAAAGAAACCAACATTGAATTGTACACAATAAATATTTTAAAATGAAATTCCCCAGTCCCAAAATATCTATACAATAAATGATTCAATAAATGTCTTATTGTATTTTAAGATTGAGAAAAGTATCATTTTAAAATATTTATTGTGTACCATTAAACATTATTTTAACACCTATGTTACTTAAAATTTACACAATTGTTGCTTCAGCTTTCATATGAAAGGGGTATTTAACAATAAATATCAAGAGCAAAAGCCAATGAGTAAAAAGATACTAGGATTCCACTTGTAAACAATAACACATTCTATCTTCATCTTCACCACATTGCAAAGCAATTGACATGATGTTCCCTCATTGGCAATCTTAAAAACAAGCCAATAATATGATACATGAAAAACCTAACTGGTACTTGCAACAATAAAAATTAATGTTGACTTTAACGTTACAAGAGAATTTGAGGAGTCCTTGCATATAATTTAATGTTATTCGAACACCAAATACAAACTGTGTGATACTATGAAAAAGCTAATCTGATCCAAATCTTGCAAAAACAAGTAAAAATCGTATGTGAATATATGTAAAGTTTGTAGAATTGTGTTTAAATCTTATCCAAATCCATCTGAAACTAGTACAAATCTGCATCAAAATCTCTGGGAAGCTGTTTTCTCAGGCCAGGCCAAAGTAAAAAACTTAAAGGTTGGAGTTTACCCAGGGATGTTAAGGGACTGAGTCTCTCGTTAGCCCCCCTTGAGTGGTCTAAATTGTAATTTCTATTTTAGGTTTTGTAGTTTAAAATATTGGAGGCAAGATGGGTAATCTTGATAGTGGTTGAGATTGAATTTTGGGTGTGAAGGGTCACAAGAAAAGTGATGAAAGTGGTGATAAGGAGAGCTTTGATGAATGCTATTTTCTACATGAAACATATTACTGTATTCCCTTTTTTTGTTCAATTCAATAGTAGGGGCCCTTTTCAATGCTCAGGGTTTTTTTGCTGAACTGATATTTTCTGGATTCTTCTGGTTGTGGATTCTGCTTGATGTTGATGTTCTTAAGTAATATTGGATTCCTGTATTTGTTTTGTATATATATATACTTGTTGGTAGCTCATTACTTCTGTCTGTTATAGACACTTATGGTTATAGGCACATCTAGGTAGAACCACTTAGGACTAGGTATTTTCCCACTTCTGCAATTGTCACTATATCTAGAATGCGGTTACCACTCTTCTCACTTAGAAAACACAGTTTCTTGAATATATCATCGTTGTTGATGATATAGCTCATAAGGTGATAGGATTCTCTGCCATCAATGAAAGGGTATTATTTAGTTGATGAAAGGAAGTTAGTTTGATTCTGTTTTTTGAAGTAATCTTTCCTAAGGTGAAGAATATATGCTTTTGATATTGGGTTGTTTAGTTGTTCTTTATAGTTCTCTAACTTGGATGTATCCAAATAGTTTAGTGATTAATCTTATTGCTTTCTTTCATATTTTTTGTATATTAAGGTAGTTTTGGCTTGATGTATTTAGTAGTTACAAAATCATAATCTATTGGTGTACGCACAAATGTTTTATAAATGGATAGTTTTGTTTTTGTTTGAAGTGGGTTTAAAGTTTTTTGAATATTTAATTGTGATATGGCTTTAGCTGCAACACTTTTTTCTTTGTTTCACGCGAGTCTTGAGGCATACATGATGCCCAGGAATTTTGCAGTTTCTGTCGATTTTATTTTGTTGTTGTATACATTTATGTGAATATTTTTAGCTTATTTTAGTCATTTTCCGAGTTTTGTTCAGCAAATTATGGATTTATTTTTGAAGGATTTGAGTATTACTCTCCAATCAGAGGCTGTTTTTGTAATTGTTTTGCTGCTTGCATTGGACTTTTTTGATGCATGTCAGCCAAAAACAGGAAGGCTTGCATATGTGAACATATTTCGCTTTCCATGTTCAGATCATTGATGTATAAGAGGTAGAACAGTGGACCGATAACAGAGCCATGAGGCACTCCAGAAGATGGGCAAAAAAAAAATGATGCTATTGCCTTTTTTCTTTAGAGATTGGTTATTTAAAAAATCAGAAATGTACCTCAAATAAATTTTAGGGGATTTGGAATTTACTAACTTGCATCTAATCCCTTCATGCTAGACTGAATCAAAAGCTTGCTGAACATTACCAAATGAGCCCACATATCAGTGTATGATGTTTATATTCTTACGTGTTGTTTCAATAAGTCTGATAAAATGGTCAGTTGTTTGTCAGTTTTTTCTGAAGCTATTTTCCATTTCTGAAATTAAGTGAATTAAGTCATTTGGTATTTGTTAAGGTTATTGGTCTGTAGTTTTCTGAGTGTTGTGGTGACTTAAACAGGTTTAGGTATCATTGCTTACCAATGCTGTTTTTCAGTTTGCTAATGTGGGTCCTGAACGTACGATTAGTGTGAAGATGCTTGTCAAGTGTTTGAGTAAAATTGTTGGTTCATGTTTTAGGCAACATCTGGAATACTGTCTTCTCCTACTGATTTGTTTTTTGAATGTTTTAGTGATATTTTTTATGTCAGAAATGATCATGTATTTTCATTTGTGTGATATATGGTATTACCGTTGTGTTATTCGGTACTGGGAATATATCCATAAATATGTTTTGGTTTTGTGCAATATATTTGTTGAGTCATTGTTTGGAATAGTTGAAAGAATTATGGTCTGGAAGTGTGAAAGATATTTGTAAGTGTTGTAAAAACACTATACAGTTTTTGTTGA